GATATAATATCATTAGATTCAAATTTAATTCCATCCATTACAGTAACCCACTTGTAACCTACTGTACAGCAGAGCGACAAACACGACTTACCCGCTTTTTTTTTTCATTTCTWTTGTTGAATAATTTTGATGTGCAAATTGATGTAGGGTCTTTTAAACGGTCAATGTGCAAACGATAGATGATGGATGTATAACCATAACCCAAAAACCGAACGATGCGCAAATGTCTTACAAAAAAGGTTAAAATCAACAATAGTGATGCGCAAACGATAACCAGTGTTTACATTACACGTTGGTTGTAAAAAAATTAGAATTTTACTTATATAGATCTTTATCGTTTTTATATTTATATTTCATTCTGCAAATACCTACCTACCGGCTACMACACTACTAAAATGCCCTAAAAACGCAACATTCCTTTCCATACTTCGTATATTATATTATTTCTGATTATCAACAATTCAAGTAATGAATTTAGTTGGACATTTTTATGATTTTTACAGAATTACAAAATAATATTTCAAGGCAACAAGAGGGTTGAAACGGACCAACACCTGCTTGCATCGCCATTGGCTAATCTGATGGACCAATATCAAGCTTTTACAAAAAGCGAATACGCCCCCGGTAAACTCACTGTACTTGCTCTCATATTCTGGAGAACCGCACAATGATGAGCAACGGATTCGCAATTACGGGTCATACACCCACTTGGGATTCAAGTTTGACGAACACAGTAAGTAAACAATTTTCAACAAATATCTAGGATAATTAAGAGTTAATCCAGTTGTTGTTAATATGAAAAAATATTATAACTTTTCCAGTACAATTTTTTTTTTTTTTATGTAATTTTAAAAAGGACCTCCGCTATAGTTATGAGATTTCATCATAAGGCAAGCATCTTGAATTCAGCTCTTATATTATAACCCGTGCACTTTGTAGCCTGTTAAAAATCCTACCTTTTATATGTCTCAAACTGCAGTGGGTTAAATTCGTTAACTGTGATTATGCTTGCAGTATATTTTTATACATATAGATGGATAACGGTTAAAATATATATTGTAATAAATAATAATCCTACCATGATATTTAATTTAGATTGTCATTATGAAATTTTATTCGTTTTATTGAGAACATTTTAACAAATTATCGTTTTTTTAATCTCAATAAGTTTTTTAGATTTTTTTAAGAGGGTATTTCCTTATATTTATACTTGTTTGTGGCCTTTTTCATCCTTATTGGATGTGCATTAAGTCCTAAAATTGCTTAATGTTTATAATTAATAATGGTTAAAACAATTACTCTGCTTATATAACATGCAAGTAATACAATACTATATATAGTTGGTTTAACTYATTTTTGGTGAGGAGCACCACACTTGTACATTATAACGAAATTTCCATCACAGCAAAAAAAAAAATTAAACCAGCTATTATTGCTTATTTGCGTTTTCCWAATAATGCCATGCAACCGACCAACGACAGCCTACTACTTTTAGTTTTTACTACTAAGTACTAATTTTTTGAACTATAATTAACAGGTTTTATGCTGTAGATTGTAGAACGTATGTTACATATTAAGTAAGACACATATTACCTATGCGTAGAATCTATATTTTTATTTTGTATGATATACCTATTCTCTAAGGTGGCTTGGTATTTTGTGGCAGTGGGATCACCCATCCACCAACAATTTTTAAGGAGCAATTGCTCCAAAATAATACCTTCAACACGCAACTGGTCTAACTGTATTGGTTATAAATGTATAAAAATATAATTTATTATTAAAATAATACAATAAATATATAACACGTTAACAGGATAGTCAAAGTTACGATGAATGTTGGCCGGATGCTCACCTCTATCATCACCATCATCATTTACACCATCACCATATTCACCAACACTCATCTACAGTATCTCAAATGTGGCCTAACCCGCATAACCATCATTCTCAGCAACAAAGTATAACTCAAAATGCTCTTACCAGGTAATAATTTTATAATTTATTTATTTATATATCTACTTAATACACAATTTTCTGATACCACTTTATGTGTATTATATCGTTGTTTTCCGTGTTAACTTTATAGTAAATTATAGCACTCTACTATAAGTATATCAGCATATGCTTATAGATAATGCATAAGTATATGATTTTTGATTTTTATGATTAATCCAATAAAACAGTCTAAAAAAAAATAGGGAACCTTCCTATATTGCACCACGCACCTATCTTAAATACGCCCCATGTAATTGTACGAAAAGCTTAGAACTGCAGCAGTATTCAGCACTATATTATTTTTCTAGTTTTTTTTTTATTTATTTATTGGTATACCAATATATTTATATATACCAATATATAAATTATTAAGCATCCAGAGACGTCTTTTGAAGAGGTGATAGGGTACTATCAGGTAGGTGGACATTTTCTTAGAAATTTAAAAACGGAAAAGTATTGCTCATAACCTACGTCCTACTACTATATAGTTTATCAATCAAGAGATATAATAATATTATCATAATATCATTATAAATGTATGCATTATTTAATTAATTCATTCATTATATAAATTATTTATTTTATTTTATTTGTATTCATTCATTTATTTTTCATCAATTTTATTTTATTTTATTATTATTCCGGATAAAATATTGTAGACATGGTTAAAACATATCGATTATAAAACTATTTTACTTTCATATATTATACACAGGACCAAGATGTAACAGAAATACCTGACAAAACATTTTTTTACAAGTTAAACATATGGATAATAAAATATAATTTAAGAAATACCATTGACAGGAAATTACGTTCCAATATCCAATCTAATTGGTTTTTAAATATTTTAACTATGAATCATATTTAATACTTGGACTTAACGAATTATTATCAATTAAACGAATAAACAATAGAAACACAAGAGTGTCTATACTACGTATATGATATTATGAGATATGTCTATAAGGTATTGAGATGTATGAGTAAATATGACATAAGTGAGATAAGAATAGAACCGTATTCGTTCTAAAGAAGTAATCTACAATCTACATATTTATATATTATATTATGATACCTGCACACTGCAATTATTCGAAATTTCTATATACAATAATTATTAAATAAAAAAAAAGTTAAAATAATAATTTTTGATGGGAAGCGAAGGCAAGTACCTGTTTATGCAAATAATTCACGTCCCATGTATTATACATATTATAATAGCTAGGTATCTCAATATATATGTACAATTATTTCTGTAGACTTCTATATTAGTTGGTACATTTCACGCTGTTATTACTGAGAAAATATTATAAACTATTTAATAACAATAATAATAATAACCTATTTATGCTACAAAACATAATGCCGACACCTATACTAATACTATTAAATAAACAATACTATGTATAAGGTATGACGTATATTGTTGTATGTTTTATATTATTATATGGTCTAAAACAGTTTTACGCTGCACTACACGTTTACACGTATGCTATAAAAGTATAGGTAGGCCATAGTAGGTAGGTACCTACTAAATCAACAATTGTAAATACTTATAACATAAATAAATTGTACATTGATTTCTGAATTTTGGCATATTAAGCTCATATCGAGATACGCTATATAACCTTCTTTTCTTATATTAATTGTTTATACGGCACTTAATAACTTAATAAGTTAAGGTTAACTCTATGGGCCATTAGCTTCGCTATTATAATGAAATAGTTATGTTTTAAAGTCTTTATAAAACACAGAGGCGTACTCGGGAGTTTTCNNNCTATTATAATGAAATAGTTATGTTTTAAAGTCTTTATAAAACACAGAGGCGTACTCGGGAGTTTTCAATGGGGTGGGGGGTGGGGGGTGAACATTTTGTTTTTTATCACTGGGACTTCGTCACCTTCTTTTTAAAAATTTTGATAGATTATCAACATTGATGTTTGATAGAGATCTAATCTTATCTTACTTACCTATCTAATCTTACAGTTCTTAACAGATAATGCATGTAATCGTTGTATATTGCATGTTGACATACAATTTAAAATAGATCCTACCTATTTTGTTTATTTTTTCCCTTTAAAAATTTTTTTTTAGAAAATTGCTCCTGTGAGTTATATTATATTTATATATAATGTGAATTATGAAATTGCATAAATTATGTGCACGAACGCAAAAGACTAAATATAGGTTAGTGAGGTCATGGGGGAGGTTCAAACCCCATCACGACCCCCCCCCTTGAGTACGCCCCTGATACAACACATACACACATATACATATATATATACCATATGTATAATATATTTATATAATATAACAATAAACAATTGAGTTAAATAGTTGAAAATTAATTGCAAACCATATTTTTAAATAATTGAAATAGATAAAACTTATATCATTAGATTAAATTATTTACATAATTGAGTACTTTATTGTAAATCAGATTTGTTGACCGGCTGATGTTGGTATTAAAATTTTATAACATTAATATTCGATAAAATTTGAGTTTAGATTCTGAGCAAAGCTATGAATGCTTAGTGTAAATTCAGCTATGTGTTTTCTTTATATAGTGCATAAGTTTTGAATTTTATTATTTTTTCAGATAGGTAACTGAAAAGTGAAAATATTTGGAGCTTCATATATAGTTTATGGAGCCAAAATAAAAAATACTCAGTACYTACTTTTCTTAATAATTAAAAAAAAACCAAGAAAGTTGCTCTCCTGTCTAAAAGTCACTGTAATAGATGTTTTAGATTTGAATTAAATGATATGAAATTATTGTATTCGAAAAACGATTCTGAGTGAAGATKGTCTGCAGTCAGCATATAATATTCCTAGGCATATTTTATGATATTATACTATTATAGGTATTGTGATTGCTGATTAATGTAATTTATTTTATTATTAGGCATTAGCAGATAATATCATTGCATTTTAAATTCATTTTCGTCGAAAAAATTGAAAATATCATTCGTGTGTGTATATAAATTACAATTTACAATCGTAAAGTTCTAAGTAACCACGAATAATAATTATAACCTAATAACTGCATCATGTTATTCTTGGTTTAAAAATTAAAAAATGTAATTTCGTTAAAAGTTGAACTTGAAATTCCAGTTAAAAAGAACTATGTTTATATAATATATATATATATATATATATATATATTATACTTATGGTTACAGTATGAATTACTTACGTGGAACCTTGGTATACATATTCCATTCTTAACTATAAAACTTTAACATTTTATAAATTTTAACTGTAAAGTAATACATTTTCGAGAAATTGATGAGATTTGTCAAAATTTGTGCTTAAAATATTTAAAACATCGCACCCATGGATATTTGATATTTTTCAACAATTACTATAACAACTTATGAAGAATCATGTATATACTATATTGTATTAATAAATTTGTATGGTTGTTTGTAAGGTTGATGAATTCTCCCCTCAGATCCAAACGTTATCAAAAAACACGTAATTGTTAAATCATTTCGCTCACAAATCTAAAACTAATAAATATCGAAATTTTCTTATGCTTATATAATAAGGTTAAAAAGGTCAAAAAGAGTCGATGTAATTAATGGTGTAAAAAGTGTTAATACCATTATAGTATTATACTGTATGTTACAGTACCGGATTAAGATATTTTGCGCCTGTAGGCAAACATTTTTCTGGCACCCCACCCTACCCAGGCCTTTGAAAGTAAATGTAAATATTATGTACCTAACATAATATACTAATTATTCGTAAGTGCATAGGATTATAAAATTAATAATATATACTAGATAATATTGTATTTGTTTAACATTATTATCAGTAAACACAGTATTCAAATTTAGGAGGGGATGCTGGGAGACATTGTTTTTTTAGCACTAGGTTACACTTTAGATATACAAAATACAATATTTTATCATAAATTAGATTAAATTAAATTTGTAACTTATACATAAAAAAAACAACACAAATTTGTTTTAATTATTACTACTTTATTTTATAAAACAAATTGTCGCTTTCTAGTCTTACATTCAGGGAATTCTTTTATTATATTAATAAATGATATTTCATTTAAGAGTTCMCTTTCTATGATTAGTAATGCTAAAGAATTTAAGCGTTCAGCACTAGTAGTAGACCTTAAATAATTTTTGATTCATTTCAATACTGAAAACGATCGCTCTCCAGAACAATTTGTCGGTGATAATAAAATATAATCATTAAAATTACTTTTCATTTTTCATTTTAMTTATTATAGTGTATATTTTTTGTAATATAAAATTTATACAACAAAAAAATATTTTTTAGAATTTTTCTAATTTTCAATAAATGTATTAAATTTTGGCGCCCCTCAAAAGCGGCGCCTGTAGGCACGTGCCTACCGTGCCTAGTGGTTAATCCGGCACTGTGTACTATGTACTATAAAGTATGTTACTCGATAACAATATATATCTACATTACTCGACACCTAGCTACTATATATCAGAACGATTAGCAAATTTTTATTTTTTGCACATTTATTTTTACAATAAAAAAAATTATTAGTAGGTATAGGTGCCTAAATTTTTTTCAACATTGTTATGTAAAGTTTTCTTTAGACGGGTAACATCATACTCCAAGTTATTCATAGTTTTAGTTTAAATCGTTTTAAAAAAGTTCTTATTTAATTTAAGTGAACAATACATTATATAATTAGTAATTAATTACATATTTCATCAGTTAATAAACATTAATTTTAAACAACTATTTATGGTTAAATTATTAAAAGTAGAACCTCAATTTCCCAAATTAATACCAAAAGGTAATTAATGAGTTATTTTTTTCATTGTTAATAAAGTATTAATTATAATATTATTATTATTATTATCATTTTATTTTGTATTTCGATAATTCTCATAACTATAATATTAACTAAGTTGTTTACTRATCACTGATCAGATACACAATTTTTATTATAACAAATACAAATTAATTGTGTTAAGTTAAATATTATTTAATGAAACTATGACCAATATTGTAAGAGGAATTTAATGACACCACGCCTTACTAGAAAAAAAACAGAGTTCATCACATTTGTGATTTCCTAATCATATACTAGCTAATATGGATAGTATATGTTCATATATCGACATATTATTATAACGAATTAAACAAAATTTAAAACGTTAATAAATAATCTATGAATTTATATTGTGCAATTTTCTATTTTAATACCTAATAAAAATAAAAGTTATTCAATTGATCCTTTTTCAAGCATTGCGCAACTTATCATTTTGAATATAAAAAAAAAACTTTAAATTTGTTTTGCTTATAATTAGCTCAACATGATTTAAAAAAATTGTATGATGTAAATATAATACTAACATAAAGATTCAATGAAAATGTCATTTAATCTACAGTAATTTGTATTTAGAGTTAAACCAAAATAAATTTTGAAAAAAACCGATTTTGCTTAAAAATTTCCGTTTTTTCTTAATCTTTTTTTTTTTTTTTGTTCCACACATTACTATAAGATCAATACATTTATTGCTTCGCTCAGAATTCAAAACTACTAGGTATTATCTTTAATATAATGATGAATGAACTATGAAGTTATGCTACGAGAACGAAACACTTTTTTGATTTCGAGTGATACTACTAACATAAAATAAATTTTAAATCAGGAAAACAAAATGTAAAAACAATAAACAAAATTTTAACAAATATAATAGATAATAATAATACACCACAATCTACTACAAGCAATAAAGTTTTTTCTTTATGGTTTATGACAACGTAGAGCGACCAATATTTATACTTTAACTAATGGTTACCATAAACAAAAAAAAAAGTAATACATTTCCGTTGCCGAAACAAAATCCTTGGTGAGCTCATCTTTAAAATGAGAATTTAGAAAAAATACTTTTTTAGTGCACTCCTACCCATAGGTAAACAAGACATTTGACAAGTGTACATTTTAAAGACTCTTTATATGTYCACTTTAGATTYTGAACGGAGTGATTTTCAAACCTTTTGGAGCAGTAAAAACGCTTTGATAATCAATAACTTCAACAATTTTTCGTGTAGAAAAGTTAATCGATTTCGTTCTTTGTAGGGTGGTTGGGGGAGGGGGAATTAAAAAATGCCCATTCCATGAAGCCTATTGTCTATTATGGACGTATATCATATACAAGGTTAGATAGAATARAATAGAATAGATAATTTAAATAGAATAGAATAGATTCAACCATTATTGTCTTTGTATTATTATAATACAATTAATATAATTTGTCCTGCGACAATATTATCGAATTTCTAAGCGGCAACGGCCGCACTGTTGTTGTATAAAATCGAGTTGGATATATTATAATATTTATTATGATCGTTTCAGGAGCAGCGGCGGTAGTTCGCAAAAGTCGTCGTCAATGGCGTCGTCGAAGAAAATCCGGCGGCGGGTGGCCACGCTGGCGCAACGGCGTGCGGCCAACATTCGCGAGCGCAGGCGCATGTACAACCTGAACGAGGCGTTTGACAAGCTCCGGCGCAAAGTGCCCACGTTCGCGTACGAAAAGCGGCTGTCCCGGATCGAAACGCTCAGGCTGGCCATCACGTACATCGGGTTCATGACCGAACTGCTGCAGTCGACCCCGTCGCACGGTGCGGGCGCCGACGCTGTCCAGTCACCCGCGGCCGCGGCGTACGCTCTGCCGACCCAACACCACGACATTCCCTACGCGCCTTATTCGTTGATTCCACCCGTCTGAGGGATGAAGGTGCAGATGTATAGTGCACACCCCTCCGCGTTATTTGATTTTTCGAAAGTTGTTGCGCTGCAATATATTATTATATAATTTATTATGTACAAAACAATAATATTATGTATATGTATATACGTGTTGACCGCACGCAAAAATCTCCAGTTAGTTAAATTATATATAAATATCTGCAGCAGCTGTGAAATCGATCTGAACCTGTTGCYATTATAGTTATTGACATTATTATTGCTCCCCAAATTACCCCCCATATTAGAATACGGAGAGAATGACGAAATAATATTATTAAAAATATTGTTGTTATAATTTATACGTTTTACGATATTTTGAAAAATGTATATGATATATTATAAAAAATGATATTTTAACTATATTTTTGATACCGGAATCTGTGCGGGTTACAAAAAAGTCACGCTCTATCCACCTCTCCGTGTATGTATAGGTATAAACTATCTGTAGTAATACAAAATATTAACACTYACGAGTGAAATTTTGTACTTAAATAATGTATAAAAATATTATTGTATTTATCATTTATATTATAAAGGTATAAGTAAACATTATGATTTTATATGTTTTTTATTGATCTTGAAAAAATAATATCGACAGCAAAGGACATTATCTATAGTTACAAAAAGGTTTAGACATTAAAATGTTTAAATAYAAAGATAAGTTAAAAAAATTGGGATATATATTATATTTATTTATATTTGATTGAATAGTTATGTTTGTTTCTTAAAATTCATTATGTCTAAGTTTTTTTCAGGATTGGGATCGAGTGCAGAGTCTAAGTTGTAGGATATCCTGTGCTCGACTCAACATTATGAGATATGCTAAAAAAAACCGTCTACAGTTATTCTGAGTGTTATTAGATATTGAAGTATTGATTTTACAAAAATAAGCTTTTTCAAACTCTTAATCAATCAGTATAATACCAGCTCAATAACGAGATGAACAATCGAAACCAGCTTATTTGCTATACATCAGAGCGTATTTCTAGAACTTTAATAATGCCATTGCCCGCAATTTTTTATTTATTTCAAAATTTCGATTTATTATTCATAACGTATAGCAGATATTATTCGTCAAACACCAAATTTGTTGGAAGAAACATGAAGTTCATTACATCGTCGTATGGAAAAGTGCATTGAAGTTAAGGGGGGTCACATCGAACAACTTTTGTAGATACAAATTGATTTTAAAAATAAAGTTTATTTTAAATATGATTATTTAATAATAATAATTTAATAATTAACACAGGGTTTATAAATCGTGTATGTTAAAATTTAAATGACAACAAATAACTATCAGTACTATCACCATTGCTTACCTTGAATTTTTCTCATATACGAATCGACGTGGCACACCATTTTTTTTTTTTTAGTCGGCCATTCGAGCATGAAAATGATGTGATACCTCGATTCGTATAAGCATTTTAAAAAAAATACAACTTGGATGTTTATTTTTACATTTAAGACAATTTTCCAAAAATAAATTGAATAAACCCAGGTTTTGAAGATTGAAAAAAATGTCAAAAAAATCTTCATTGGGTCATCACACTGAGTACGCATATAGGTACTAGTTACCTCAACCATTTCAGAAATACCCTGTATATTATATAACTAAAAATACATGATAATTAACTTCAAGTTTAGTCAATATTTTGACTGTAGGAATTATATAGCATATGTACGTAACTGATTAGCAATATGATAKATGGCTAACCAGTATATCTGATAAATTTTGGTTTTCTCAAACCATAAAAATCGTGACATTTTGTAATAGCAAAAGGTGAGGTTGGCGTTAGGTTATTCATATTCATATTCATATAATTTAACGAAATTTCAACCCAGAGAAATTTTTTTTTTAAATGTCATAGTGTCTCACTGTGACYCAGCCTTGTACACAATGAGACATACGTCACGGGGCACTATGGTACATAATATAAAACCTTTTAAATTTGTAGTTTATCTTTTATATTTAAACTTTTMATTTCACAACATTTATATAATATGATAAAACAATTAAAGAGAATTTTTTTATCAAATTTTAAGATAATTAATTGTGTTTTTGTACAATTAAAAAAATGTAGGTGTTCACTTTGTTTATTTCAATAGTTTTATGTTTAAGTTTTAAAAATTAAATAAATATCATAACCTAATATCACTTTATTATGATCACAATTTATTTCAACAGTCTTGTTTTAGAGTTAACAGATGTTGGGTACAGCGAGACAACTACAGTATTTATTTCCGCTTTTCTGTCATTTTTTTTTGTTTTTCTCGATTTTTTTTAAAACTGTTGGAAAATGTTAACTTTTGACCTCTATAATGCACCAAGGATATTCMCTTTTACATCGGAAACCACCCCCAAAGTTTGAAATTGAAGCATACAATACCTTATACAATACCTTAAATACCTACCTTATCGAAAAATCGAAAATTATTGTAATCGTTTTGTTTTTAGAACTTCTATGGTATCTACACAACAGGTCAACAGCGTTTATATGTAAGTTTGAACTAAAAATATTTATTTATATTATAGTGACTTAAGTATTTTAATGCTTATACTATATTATATTTCCTCAAAATTAAAAAATATAGTTCTGCTATTTCACCAACAACTGGMCCAACAATTGCTGCATAATATTATGGACTGGATTAAAAATGTATGAAACAGGCAAGTACAGTATTGTCAGTTGATAGGTACGTTTTTAATTCTATAGTAATGAAATAATTTCCACTTGGTTAAATGCGTTAAAATTGTTATATTGACAGCACCATTTCTTAGCGGGTTGTTTACTCGTAGACTGTAGGAAAAGCAAATGTTTTGATCTGTAGACCATAATAATATAATATACTGATATTAATATTTAATACACAAATATTAAGAGGACGAGATACCCGCATGTGTTGTCTCCGTCTTACAAGTACGTAATATRACAAATTTTACGCTCAGCAGAACACCATATAGCTGAGCGTAAAAATGGCCATGTAACGCACTTGTAAGACGGAGACAAGACATGGGAATATCACGTCCTCATTACTCATTAGAAACCAATAATGAATATATACAATAAAAATTGTTTCTTGGAAAATATTAAAATTAAAATAATATACTGTATATGTAACCCAATTACTGAGCTTTTTAATTAGTTTACATAATATAGTATTCCCACGTAAATTAACTTTTATTTATTCTTAAAAATTTAAACAACTAAGAACCTCTCACCTATCATTTAGGAATGTTTATCACATAATTATTACCACTTTTTGGCAAAATAACTTTATAGAAACTTTTAAACATACAATAGCCTCTAGGTGCTACATCACTTGCTAGTTTTTCTTTCATAGCCAGAGCCGCGTTTAACGAGGGGCAACCACCCAGGGGCGGAAAATTTTTGAAGTTCGACATAAAATAAAAAACTAAGGAAGGCATATTTTAATTTGCCCTAGAGCGGCAACATAGCTTAATGTGGCACTGTTTATAGATCACTCCAAAAAATACTTCCATATACGCCACTGCACTGAATCTGAATCAACTAGTTTAGTCGCGTGTACTATAGGTAATGTTTTTATATTTGATAACAATATAACATAAACAAATATCAAAATCTGTATGTACCTATATTTTAAATACTATATGTGCTGTGTCTGTACTATATGATACATTATACATATAAAAATATAATATTTATATGAATTAATTAAAGTGATRACAACATTTTTAAATAAGTTTAAAAAAAAATCAACAAATCAATGAAATTTAGTTGGTAYTGTATTTCAATAGGTATAAAGTTCAGCATCTGCAGGTGCAAAAGCATATCTTTGCACCTGCTACATAATACCAGGGGGTACAAGTGCCCAAGTAATCCCCGTAATTACGCCACTGGAGAGAACAATCATAATGGTTATTTAAAAACAACAATTGGCAATGAAAATATTAATAGGTAGTTTCAATAATATAATGGATTTCATTATTATTGAAACTGATATTTAAATAACAAAAATACCTTTCAGTATATTTTTCAAGTATATTTTGACAAAAAAATAAATTATAATTGTGTAAAACAATATTTGTAAAAAACTTAATATTTTAATTTYGTATAGTAAAAAATAAAAGTAAAAAATGCAAAAGTAAAATTGTTTGTGTTAAACAAATTGTTGGAAAACAATTGTTTAACACAAAGTTCACAAAAAATAGTAAACAAAAGCAAAATCAGGTTTATTTAATTATAGAAATTGGGACATGGAAAAATAAAATATCCTAATTGATTTTATTAATAAATATATTTATTGTATCAGTTATTCTAAAGCTCCAGTWAGCAGCACACCATCTTCAGGTTTGGGTAATCTCTTAAAATCTGGTTTTGTTACCATATATACTACTAATCCACCGTAAAAAATAAATAGTAAGCCCAAAAAATTGCCAAACAATCCTTCTTTTGGAAAATGTTTGTATTCTTTATCCCTAATTAACAAAACATTAGTAATTAATAATATATCATTAACATAATTATCACTTGAATACATACAAAGCAAAAATCAATTTTTCACAGAGTCCAAGGACTGAGGTAGCAATTGCCAGAATAAAATTGAAAATTCCAAAGAAAATGTGATAAGGCATTACAGCTTCCCTATATTCGGCAGCTATTCCAGGATACAAGAAGGACACAACACCACTTACAAACTAAAATATTAGTAAAACAAATGCAGATAATAAATTAATATATTGAAAAACATAAATATAAAACAAATATATAATATTTATAATGAATAAAATTTAACTAACCTGAGAGAGGAACATTGAAATTGTAACAACACCCACCCAACTGTGTAAAGTATACAAATTTGGAATAGGAGGATTACTATAAAGATGAGAAGCAAAAGAAGCCCAACCACCAAGTAACACCAGAACAATTATACAGCCATGAATAATTGCATGTTGATTTTTCAAATCTCGTTTCTTCAAACTTCGGAATGTTCTATAATGAAGAATAGCTAAAAAAGAAAAAAAAGTGTCAACAAATAATTCATACATCATTTACAGACAAATAAATTTGTATTAAAAATGTATGCTGAGCTAATAAACTTTTATCAATTTAATGGTAGTAGYTTCATATGTCATAGAAAATATATGTAGTCTATGATGCAAAGATGTCTTGGAATACTTAAACAATTTTAAGCATCAAAAAAAAAAAATTTTAAAGGTAGAATTTTTGTTTTAAATATTTTSTGTTTATAAAAATTGAATTGTCAATGTATATTTAAGTTTTATAATTGGAAATACACAATTTTAATTTTGAAAAATAATTTTAAGTCAATAGCCTTTCTCTATATTTGTAAGAAACAGATTTTCAACTTTCGGATAGTTTATGTAGAATGGTTTCAAATTAATTTACTGAATTTCTCATAATAAACATGATCTTTAAAGGTATCTCAGAATTCAGTTTGTAAAACTTACCAACATTTTATAAAAATAACACAGATATTCACTTAACTAATTTTTTAAACTATCTTACTGTATTAATTTTTATTTTGTAATTTATAATTTTTGACATAGCCAGTGGCGGCTCAAAGCGAGTATATTTGAATCATGTGATTCACAAAAATATTATGGGTGGGTCTTATGGTTGGAAAAGGTAGACTGGTCCATTTTTGCAGGTAGTTAATTTAAATATTAAATTATAAATAATAAATATAATATATAGCTGTAATGTGTACTCAGCAGATAATGTACAGTAATAAGTAATAACTATATTTTAGGGTGGGTGGTGTAAAAATATTAAACGTGATTCGTGGGAAAAAAGTTCAAGCCGTCACTGGACAAAGCCCTGAGAAATAAGTAATCTGAGTTGACAGTACTATAGTTTTTGAAAAATGTAATCAACTATGTAAGTTTTTCTTAGATAATTTTTTTTTAAAGCAAAAAAAAATATGCATATACAATCTTTAATTAAATGTATAAAATATGCAATATGGGGGATGGATACAAGTATACAAGACTGTATGGCTTAAAAAAAGAGGAGAGGTTCAATGACAATTTCATAATTTTAGGCTGTTTTTTTTTAATATTGAGAAGACCTCGCCAATTATGCTAAAAACAATGTGGTGGGTTATCATTTTATCAGGAACTGTAAGAAAGAAAAGGTTTTATATTAGGGCCTAGGGGATTTGAATGGTTGAATGTGTTTTTGTGAAATAGTTTATAATAGTGGAAGATTAGCAAATCAATATTATGGATTTTGAGGTCAGTGCGAAGGGAGAAATTGCTGACATACCAGGGGCCATTTGTAATGAGGCGAAGTTAAATTGTCTGAAATTATTGGACATTTTTGATTGTTGAAGTTTTGGCCATACCCCATAGCTGAATTCTGAAGGTCTAGTTAGTTTGTTTTTGAATTTAGTGTAGGGAATACATTTTATGACTTGATAGTATAGGATTGATGTCAATATTTTTTCTAGAATTTTTGAGAAAAATGGTTAGACTGATTGGGCGATTAGAAGAGATTAGGTTTGGTAGCTTGTCAGGTTTTGGTATAAAAATTATAATGGAATGTTTCCATCAATGAGGTATGTGTGAGAGATGAAGAATGGAGTAAAAAATTAAGGTAAAGAATAGAATGGCTTGCATGGTTGATGTTATCTGTCGTGATGAGGAGAGAAAATGCTTTGAAGATGAAGGACTAATAGGTTTGATTTTCCTGGACTGGCCTTAGAATGATCAATCAGGATATATAATAGGCGGTATTTTCTTGGCTTAAAATCATTTTTATTGATGAAAGCCGAAACAGCAGAGTCAATCTCTGTGGGTTTTTTTTAAAGATATTTGTAGAGATAAACAACAATTCAATTATATGAGGATTGGTTCCAATTTGTTTTACCTGGGGTAAGAGTCTGGTATTTTTATTGTGTGGATAATTTGATTGTTAAAAGTGAGTAAGATTGGTATATGATCCGATGAAAGGTCAAAATGTTATATAAAATTTGGTGTGATTTGGTAGCGTGTGTATGAATAAATCAAGAAGATTTGGGGTTCTGTTTGTGTGATTATGCCAGTAAGGTGGCCCAGGAATAGTTAATTAAAACTTACAATTTGCAAATAAATAAACAAATCCAATTGTCATAAATAGAGGATGCCAGTTGAATATGATTTTGGGATCAGTAAATCCAAATCCTCCTCGGAAATTGAGAATCCAGTAAAATATAGAAAATACAAGTAGTAATCCAACAATCTAAAACAAAAAATGCCATAGTAAAAACTAAAAATAACTTTTAAAAAGTACTTACCTGGAATATTGTATACAACGAGGAATATGCACCAACATGGTTGAAATTTTGGGATGGCGCTTTGTTACGATTTTCTTCAGTCATATTATTCAATGTTACCGCTTCCTCAATTCTATTGTTCTCTAACTCTGGTGTAACTGAAATAATAGTAATACTTTGTTATTTATTAAAATTTAAAATACTAATCAATATGGTAATTTGATGTGTAAAATGTTATGTTTTATAATACAGATAGTAATCAGCATCAAATATTTTTAAAAATGATGATCGATTAATTTTTTAGATGGCTTACACAGATAATTCCTAACACTGAAAAATAGGGACGCCCAACAGAAATATTTAGACCAAATACCAATACTATTCAGCAACAGGATACGTAAGTTCGTTTTCGTTGCCAAGGAGACATTGCCAATATGTAAGGATTGAACGCCGAACGGCGCATGGTTAAAATTATGTATGATAAGATATTAGCTGTGTATATACTATATACACTATACAGGACGTTTCATTCATCTACAACTTACAGTCGACGGCAAACGTCCAATATTTCTTGACAATTTAATCAAATAACTATTTTGTATTTTTATCTCTCCGCGAGTCCTACAATGTTTGATCCCGCTTCGTTCTAATATTTGATTTTGAGAGATAATAATTCTGTTTTAGAAATATAACTGTATCATTAATAAAGTGATAATTATGTGTACAATAAAGATGACGCCAAACCCAAAATATTGTCAATAACGTCAATAATGTCAAATAACATACTTCTATATATTTATGTGTAAATTACAAATAAACAATATAACTAAAAGCGTTTTGCGCGGGATAACATTGCTCCCTCTGTACTTATAGTAGAATTACAAAATTCCACAACGCACTGTAGGGAAGAACTTTATCTGTGTCGTAGCTTTTTAATTTTTTTAATAGCACTAAGCCACTAACCAATATTGCTTACTAATTAAAAAAAAAAAGCATGTTTCAAACTGATAACATTAATTATATTTAATTAACATTTATGTTGTCCGACAAAAATAAAATTCTTCCCTGTACGTTGTGAAGTTTTGGTATTACTTCTATAAATACAGAGGGAGTAAAGTTAGTTGTCTAGCGCTAAACAGTTTAATATATTATGTTGTAAATTTATCTGACCGAGACAACACATGCGGGTGTAGTGTCCTTTAAATAACAAATTAAGATTTGTGCTTGTGAGTTGTGGTATAAATCAAGGTGTTTTGCCTTAAAATATTTGATTAAAAATTATAAAAGTGTAGARTATTTAAAGATTTACGTTTAAAATCACTCTGTAGATAACATGAACATCGCAGACTATTTTTTAAATTGTAATATCTATTAGTACCATAGATATTATAAGTTATAAATTATAATATTATTAAGATCCAGCAATGAGGAGCTCGGGGAATAAACATAATGTTCATTGTGATATTATTTTATCGTATCAACAAAATAATGTTAATTTATTATATATACTTACTTTTTAATCGTTTCCTAGTCATTTTTTTTTATACAGTACTGATATAATTTCGTTTGATTTATAATAAAAATCGTTATTAACCTCAAAACGTACGTTGCCGATAAGTTTTAGCGATAAAATTTACCGAAATGCTAAAGCGAACTTGTTTGAACTACGAGTAGAGTGCTTAATTTATTTACATTTCCTATTACCTTTTCATACACGTAATTAATTGTTTATCAGTTTCAATGAAATCAACATATATTTTAATCATACATTTCAGACGGCGATAATATTTTTATTATTATTATAGGTACCTACGTGAGTACATAATTACTTATTTCATTATGCGCTAGTAAGTAGTGATTGTAGGACATTTTGCGTACTGGTATATCACACGTATTATAATAACCTAGTAGGCAGTATAATATAATTACACTTAAGTCGTAATTCGTAATCAAAATTTTAAGTAGTGRTCGACAATCGAAAAACGCACCGAATCATTTCAATAACAATTTTRTTTTATTTATCCGATAAATAAATAAGATACAAGAGCTTAAACATGCAAATCGCGACTAAGCGATTTTGAAGGCAGACGTGACATGAAAATAATATTAAATTAAAATAATTAGATAGTGAGTAGCGGCGATAACCGGATAATTACATAAAATAAAATATAGTATAATATAGTGCCGGAAACGACATCATTATAATATGTATTATTTTATGATGATTTGACATAGTATAGTTAGTTATACACACATATTTAACTATAATAATTAATAATACTCAATAGTATATTATAATTTGTTAATCCTGTATACTTTATGTTACGAGCGTATAGTATACACAAAGAACAGTATACCTACACTATATGTATATACATAGTGATAGTATACCTAAATAGTTAAATATAATGTATAGTAATTGTTATATTATGATGTTTGCAAATTATTGTTATTTATTGTAAAAACATAATACTCGTACCAATCGTACCCATGTTGAATGTTCAATATAATAGTGTTMAAATGCCTTTAACGATAAATAGATAAAATAGACAATAATACTATCATAACGGCGAGTCCGTCAACAGTTGAATTATGTTCTTTTTTCCACACCATCAATCGGGTTTTGTGACCAAAATCGTATTTATTCACTGCTTTTTTTTTAACGTTATAAATATTAAGTCATAGCTAGGTAGACCGTAGACACCATACTGAGCACTGACGATATAGTGATTAACTCGGTGACTAATTAGTGTCGAACTGTCGACTATCGAGTGATAAATACATCGATCTGTTAGGTTAGACCAGGGGTGGCCAACCCATGTACACTTTAATAATATAGGGACCAGTTTTGAGCATTTTACGAAGTGTCTGTAACAGCTATTGGATGTTATTCAATAGGTATGGAGGGCCGGAGGGGTAMCCCAACACGAAATTTTTTTATAATTTTGTTATTAAAATTGATTCAAACAGGTTGTCTTGAGTTACAATTTAAAAAAAATATAACATTACTTTTGTATAAATTGTATGGTTAAAAATTAAAACGCGATTTTTACTAGGACATTTTCGCCATCACCGGCATCCAGGCAGCCAGACGTGGGTATAAAGAGGAAAGGGGAAGGAGCCATTCATCATTCATGGTAAGGGATATATTATTGTAATTCATGGCATACCTCAAATACTCCCAACCCCCMAAAAATATAATTGTGTTACATTCAGTGTCAACAACGTGATGTTTTGATATAATTTGCGAGTATTCAAAAAAAGTTGCTAGTTACCTTTACTCATAAATTCCATTTTTCGAACGTCAAGTTGATCCAAAATTGGACAGTCTATTATAATCTATTGACAATAGATATTAAGAAAATTAAGAGAGAAAAACGGCGTCAAATGTTTTATAAAATTGGACAATAATTTGCTCAATGTTCACTGCTATTGCTTCCAGCAGAACCTGTGATATATCATATATGATATATACCATGACTAAAACAAAATATTAAATATTTAGTGTTATTATTTAGTCATGATATAAATTGTACGGGGTGCATATGACATATAAAACAATATTTATTGTGATGGTCTTTACACCCTTTGTAAAGTATACTTTACTTATCAAGATTGATTTATTAATTGATATATTATWAATTATATTAGATTATCAATCTTAGACTTTAATTTATGATGTTGAATTGTTGATCCCATGACCATAGTATAGCAAGATGTTCTGCTGGAGCCCGGAAGCACCTAAGTATTAACTATTAAATGCCGGAAGCTCTAGTAATCATCAATATCCATCTAATCTGTATTTTATGTCAGTATCTGGCCAAATACTATAAATATCTTATATCTTATCTATAGTATTTGATCTGGCACGAATTAAGATATATCTTAATTCTTAATTCGTGGCATGAACTAAGATATCTTAGTTCATGATTCGTGGCTTCTGGTTTTTGTAAAATTATTTATTTGATAAGAACATTAAACGTCACATAGTATTGCAACTTTAATAGGTAATTATATTATCATTTATCACAGAAGAGAGAAATGAATAATGATAAGTTCATTAAATAATAAATTCTAGGTTTCTGGTTTATAGATAATATTATCTATTATCTATAAACCTTGCATCAAATTTACTATGATTAGTATGATTTCATAAAATACTTTAATGGATTAGAGCCTAGTGGACGGTGTCAGTTTAGTGGTTTAGTCCTTAAGATTATAGACTTTGGGTATCTATATTATATTGTATTGATCTTAGTATTCAGTAATTGTCATAATTATTAATACCAATAGAATGATAGAATAAAGCCAAAGACACTGTAAGAYTTAAAAGAACGGCATACTTCCAAGTTCTAGTTTGTGTGTAAAAACATTTAAATTGTGAATAACTAGTCATAACTATTTTGATTTTATACAATATAACCGTGGCCGTGGGTGAGTTGGTGCATGTAGTATTTTACATTAAAACTTATAGATATAAATTGCTTATACTATAAAAAATTAAAATCTTTGAACAAGACACATTTGTAATATTTAATCTGTCTCCTTTTCTTCATAAACTAAAGATAACACATAAGTAGTTAAGATTATGAAAACTTATACAAATAATTACCTACTTCGTAAGGTTCAAGATATATATCATAGAAAAATAAGTATAATATTATTATCTTAGATATTATATATAAAAATTAATCATTTGTATAGTTTTTTTTCAAGTTTAAATGAATTAAAATTAATTTTATGATGTTTTTATTGGTAACCTCAAAGAAATTTTTATTAAATGTATAACATAAACTAAAGTATGATTAGCAACGTAACTGTGTATTTTGTCTAACAACAGTGTGACAAAAACCAAAATTTTGTCTGCTGGGCTCCCTGTCTATTCAACTTTGATTTTTAGTTTTTACACAATACTACGTTATAATAAGTAAGTCATTAATAATTTTAACATAAATTATTGTACCTAGACTTATAGCAATATAAAAMAATAATTATTATAATAATATAAAGAATAAATTTAAAGTTTATACAGGTTAGTTCTTGAACCTATTGAAAGAATAAAAAATTGAAAGAAACAAATATTAAAAATTTGAGATACTGAGGGAAAAATAATTAATTTAAATAGCATCAATCAAGTGAAACGGAGAGATTATTAATGAGTAAATGTTAAAGGTCACATATTTCTCCTAGACTGTTAGGTAGGGTACAAAAAGAACTTGAATGAGCTAACATTTATATGATTAGAATGGTGCTAGGGGAGTGATAGGGTAGTGATATATATATGAGTGTTAGGGGAGAGATCATTTTTYATATTATTTTGCACCTAAAGGCAAAGATTCTGGAAGGTTTCCTATTCCAATATCAAATTTAAATTTAAACTAAATTTTTTAAATTAAATATTTATATTAAATGAACTTAAACATTTTTTTTAAAGAGGTACAAAATTAGATCTACTAAATTTCTTGTGCAATTTATTACTTTATAAAATAGCTAAAATATAGTTAAAAAAAAAAATATATTATTTATTCATGATTAAAATCATATTTTCTACCTCGGTTTAAAATACTACCTATATCATGTGATTAAATTTTATACATATTTTATTTTACCATTCATAATTTCATATTATTTGTGTTATTTAGATTCAAAATCGTATACACWCATCAATATATCATAAAATGGCTGCAAGTTTAAATCCATGTGTATCACTTCCAATTAGTTTGGATGAAAATGATTTTAAAGATCTTGTACAGAAGGTTAAAGATTGGACCATCATGCACGGTTATTATAATAATGTTTACAAATTTTTATAAACATGTTAATTAACTCATRCACATTATTTTAGGTGGTGGTATGAGGTCTAAAACACAATACTCCAATGATTCCCTAACTGTGGTGCCATTTACACTTTTACCATCGGTGTTCCCACGATCTGAATTCCAAAAAGCAGTTGCAATACAACCAGCGCTGAATGAGCTTACGCAYCGAGTATCTAATGATCATGCATTTTTATACTCTTGTTTAGAAAAGTATTTCAATTTTTAATCAGTTATCATACAGATTGAAAAAAAAAATTATTTTTTATTTTTAGAACGATAGAAGTTGATGAATTTACGCGTAATTTATATAAATTATATGAAACTATGCGCAATGAAGGTTTCACTCAGGTAAGTTTCTGATTTTTATAAAGCATGTCTCACATTTTTCACTATTTTAAACAGTTATATACCTATATTTTTACATTCAACAAGCATTTTGAACTGTATGTAAGATAAAGTCCAAATATAACTAGATTGTTCCATAATCATGCACTTGGGTGGGRCAGGATGAGCATGTGCAAATAACATTTTTATGTGTGACTACTACYAGGAGTTTTATACTTCTAAAATTATTATAGATAATGACACATTTTATGTATGTAAATCCCCCAAGTTAGGGGGGGGGGTACACAAATGGTAAGATATCTTTTGCTAATAATTATTGAAAACCACTATAAACAACTGATTTAGGGTTTTGTTAAAACATTTTAATAAATAAGTTTTAAGATATAATAATTAAATAACAGCCTAATAATCTAGATGTTACATTATTCATATATAAATACATATTACTAAATGCTTTTTAGTCTAATACTCTAATAGCTTCATTCAAATTTTTTTTATAAAAAGATTACTAATACAATAATACAAATAATAATAATAATAAAAAAGAAAAATCATTATTCGAGTAGTGATAATAATCGCATCATTATTAAAAGCTAAAATTCATTATAATTATTAGCAATTCTTATGGAAATGCTAAGAAATTATAACATTTCATTTCATCTCAATGGGGATATACATATATGCTTATCACGTATGATTTTTCAAGCGCTTGAGCCTTGGAATATTGCGCTCAGACATCATGCAGGAAAAGGAAGCAAGCGATGATTGCATCAAACAAGTTGAAATGAACACAATTGCTAGCGGATTTGGTTGGCTTGGTATCGTTTCCGKGGACATTCACAGGTCAGGATTTAACACACCTAACTTTCTATATATCTGGACCCAAATCTTTATTTAAATATTATGTATATCAGACCTTTGTCTTTATCGAGTATCAGATACTGATTGGTTTGCGCCCCTTCTAATTTAAATAGTTTTTTATATGTTCTGACAATATAACAATATCATAAGTTATTTAAAATATGTATTTATCTTACTAAATCAATTATTATACAATCAGCTGTATCTGTTTAAATTTTTATGACAATATACGGGTGTAACCTGTTTGTGCATGTTTTAACAATTTTACTCATAAATTAATAGTATGTTTGCGCTTAAATAATAAAAAACTAACTCATTTGGACACATTCTTACAGATTCATTGCATAAAAATTTTTCCTTAATAACTTTTTTAATTATTATACTTATGTAAAATTGGATGAATCAAAAATCCCAATGTTAAAAAATTTTTTGATTATGGATTATAGCATTATATCAGATATTTAAATTTATGTAAAATAAAAAGTAAAAAATGTATTAAAAACTCATAAATGTATAGTATACAATAAGTTATAAACACTTTTATATATATTATTTTAATAATTGAGAAGATAGAAATTTAAATCTTATTTATTTAAAAATTTCAAATATCCCATATTGGGTGACATTGATTGGTATTCAATTCAATATTTCAACAAATTTAAAATTTTTTTTGAATTTATGTTCCTATTTTACATTTTTTTAAAAATATGTTTTAGAAAATATATAGCCAGGAATTTGTTGAAGCAGTGGAAAGTTTTAATCCTCAATTAATGCTTTTTTTTATTTTTTATTTTAAATTTATAAGTCATAACTAATAGATTACATAATATAATTTATGAACATGTTTTACATTGTCAAAATGTAATCTGAAAAAGTAATAGAAATTTATTTTACACAACATAATCAGAGCTAAATTATTTAYTATTAGAAGGGTAATATTTGAATTATATTATAGAGGAAGTATACTTAGTGTGTAGTCATCATTTTAATCTGTTATTTTAAATATTAGAGTGAAATGATCTATTACAAATTTAAGGTAAGAATTGTATTTAGTGCCAAAAGTCACTCTATTTTTCATATTATAATTTTAAAGCAAGTTGTGTGTATTTTAAAATTGTAAATTTCTTTTAAAGTACTATGTTATTTAATATATATCCAATATTTGACTACATTTTAATATCACGAATAAAATATTTAAACGATAAAACTTTAATAATTGTAATGAGTGGACCTAAAAATCAATAAGATTTACTAATATTATTAAAAAAAAAAAATTTGTTCACAAACCAGTTGTAAGATTATACCCAAACTTGTCATGAACCTTTTTTAAATTTGCACGCAAAAAGTTTTTTTTGGTCTTGTATGTGCGCAAACAGGATACACCCATATAAATTCTATTTAACTGTATTTTATAATCGTAAATCTATAAATGCATCATGTTACTCATATGCCTGGCTTAATATTACTAATTAGTTTCTATAGCTTAACCTATTAATTTATACCTGCAATTAATTTAGTTATGTTTAATTTTTACTATTTTGTATATTTGAATTTATTACTGACTGTTTAAATTTTGTAGTCTTTTTATAGGTTTTTATATAAATATGTATATTTAATTTATTATATTTTAATAAATTTAAATTATTTTGGTGGAGATTTAAGTACTGAACTATTTTAAGAATACCTCTAATTTCAACTTTTTTTTGTTAATATTGAAGTCCTTAATATATTATTAATACTATTTGGAAAAACTTATAAAAAAGAGTTAATTAACGTTTCCTCGATATTGTTGAAATACATATTAGTAACTATTAAACAAGATATTTATAAATTAAATTCTCCAAGGTTTGAAACTATTCAAGTAAATGTTAAAAACAGTTTGTTCCACAAGTTCATTTTAATAGTATAGGTATTGTTATTAAAATGTTATAGTTAAACATAAGAACATTATGAACTATATGTAAATTTGTATGTTCTAAAATTATAAACAAGAATAGCAATTGATTTAATATAACACTATACACACTATTAAATAATAAAATACAAAGAATTGACACATAATAACAATGTATATTAATTTAATTTAATTTAAAATCTGTTTATTTATTATTAACAATAGTTGTGTTTTATTTTTATTAAAATAATAAGTATTTACTAAAATTAACTTAGTATAAGAAATAAATAGTATTAAAATACTGGTAAATATTAAAACTTATTTAGTAGTGTTGTTTTACTCTCATATGACTAGTGTAATAACTTGCTAGTTWAATTTTGCTGTTATTTAATATATTATTAATGCAATAGTTAGTTAGTTATAAGTTAATGTATGCTTTATAGTTTATTTGTTTTTATTGCAGATAAGCATGTACATAAAACTACTTGTTGTATTAGACTAAAAAAGGATCGTATTAACTATTGATTGCTATTACTTATAGAATTTTATACTATAACATTTATTTTCTCGAGAGTTAACCTGCTGAATAATTTAGGTTGAGTGTACCTCTTCATTGAGTAGTTTACTACAATGGATATTTTAAATTTGGATTCAATGATTGACATTGATGAATCATTGTATAAGAAAAATATATCATATTTTATGTATATTTATTATTTATATTGCCATCAGTAATTAATTTTTTACTAATATAGTAGATTAAACTATCTTACCAAAAACGAATCGCACATATTACCTATATATTTATAATTATTATKTTAATTTAAATTACTAATTGTTTTTTTTAAATATAAATGCCATTATATGTAGAAGGTGTGATAGCTACATGATATAAATTACTCTAAAAGTCRATCTTAATAATTTTAAAGTTTGATTGTGTCTAACAATTATAATATATATTGTGGTAAAAATCTTAGAATAAAATTTTTTATTGCAACTATTAATACTCACACGTTACTACATTTTAATGTATTGCCTGTAGTTCTATTGAGGAGGGAATTCACACAAGAAAACAGGACAATCGGTCTTTATATTACTAACGATTATACATATATTACAACTTAAATTTAATATTATTTAAAATATATTATATGTAGAATATATACTTAATTTCAATTTTTATTGGGGAAGGACCACATTATTTTTAGAATTTTACCACTTGCGCTCCATTTCCATGGCACTTGTTTTTTTTATTAGTTATTATCTCACTATTTTTACTATTGTTGTAATATCCATGATAATATTAATATCTATATAATATCCATATATCCATACACTCTTTTCCATGTCTGTTGTTAATGTTTCTATAATTTCTTCTGTCTCCACATCAATGGTGTAAATATAAAAATCCTGTACAATTGCAAAAGAACCAAAAATAGKTACCAAGTACTCTGGAAGATATGTTTGGTGATTTAAACTGACTAAAATGCTTCTTGGACATAAAGGCTTCAATGCGTCAATTTTTTAACATATTACAAACCTTGTTTTCTCTCGTACCAATGTACCATTAGTAAAAAGAATAAGGATAAGGAGTTTCAGATAAGTAACAATTTTGATACCATTATGGATATTAACTTATCATAATATAAATTAAATGTATGATTAAAATCAGAACTACCTATAGTCTTCAGACTTTAAAAATTATGTCTTAATTAGGTCAAGATGTGTTATTTAATATTGCATTACTTACAACTTACATCTAGATTTTTAATTGTACTTAGATTTTGTGTAAATTTGTGATTGCTCTTAAMACCTATATAATTGTTGATCTTCGCTTGAATTGAAATTTCTTCGTTTTTTTCTACGCTTCTTATGGTTAKTATTTTAATTGTATTTACTGCTTCTTCTTCATGCACGTCTGACATAATTAGTATTCACATACTTTTGTGGTTATTTCATACTTTCTGGTAATGGTTTGCAAATGTTTCATTATCTTTAAATATTTGATCTAATTGGTGAAGAGTGTTAAGACTCGTTATAAACTTATCTTAAAGTATTGGTAGGACATAACTATTGTTTTTTAACATACATATCTAAGATTTGGTTCATCGATTAATTAACATCTTTCCATTATTCTTTAAATTTTAATTCCCATCGATAATAATTAAAGAGTAATTTWGGAGATAAGGTTTACACTATTTTGMAGCAGCATTAAAATATTTGATGAATAAATGTTGTCACTTTTCTTATTTTTGGCGTACTGTTCATCATTAAAATTGCATTATTTTTCCAAACAAAGATCCCGTGGATAATGTCCTCGGCATTCGTAGCATATTACTGTTATTCACGGCCTCACGGGAATAAACCTCTGTATGTGGTAAATTTATGATTTTGAGGTTTTGGTATCCCTAGATCTCCATCTTAGAAAAATTCACTTATATGTATTATCAACTATATAAAT